GTATTCGTATGTGTGTCCATGTGTGTGTGTGTGTGTGTGTGTGTGTGTATGTGTATGTGTATCCATGTGTATGTATCAGTGTGTGTATGTGTATCCGTGTGTGTATGTATATCCGTGTGTGCGTATCCGTATGCGTGTATGTGACCATATGTATGTATTGTGTGTGTTTGTGTGTGTGTGTGTGTGTGTTTCCGATGTAACTTGATAGTAATGCTTTATGCCCCTTGAAAATGACCACTCGAACCTTGTATCTAAAGGGATGGGTGTGATTGTAACGAAAAAAATTGGTGCTGTCCTAGCATTATGCTGGTTAGAAGAGAAAAGCGTAGCACAGTAGTGTGAAGCAAGCCGACTATCTAAAAATTGCTGATCATCAAGCATTGTGAATAGTAAATTATTTTTCGTGTTTTTTGCATCTATGCAATGCAAAAACGTATATTGTCAGTGGACTGCTTGTGTGTATGTGTGTGTGTGTGTTGTGTTGTATGTGTTGTGTCTGTATGTGTTGTGTCTAGATGTGTTGTGTCTGTACGTATTGTGTCTGAATGTGTTGTTTCTGTATATGTAGTGTCTGTATGTGTTATGTCTGCTTGTGTTGTGTCTGTATGTCTTGTGTCTGTATGTGTTGTGTCTGTATGTGTTATGTCTGTGTGTGCTGTGTCTGTATGTCTTGTGTCTGTATGTGTTGTGTCTGTTTCTGTGTGTCTGCATGTTCGTCTGTTTCGATTTTTCATCTCGATACCTACAAAAGCTACAGGGCTGAAACTTTGGGGACTTAATCTACATGCACGTGTGAATCGCCATCCTCAGCATGGACTTTCTTGCCCCTGTGGCTCCCATGTACGGGGCCGACAAAGCTTTTAGCGGGTAAGCTGCTAACTTGTTTAAACTTTCATGTGTTCAGTTTGAGGTGAGTTTCGAAAGTCCGCGAAAAGCTGACATATACTGGAATAATATAAGTTAAGAAATATACTCAGGGAGCATGTCTTTGGCTGGTGCTGTACTTTAACACTTCGCGTCCGAATGTGAAGAGAAGTGGTTAGATTCCCTTCCGGCCCATAAAATAATATGTTTAAAAAAAGCTCTGACAGCGAATTTACGGGTACTCTTAATTTTTAATTTTTTACCATGCAAAATCAACGCATTTCATTCAGTTAAATTTTGTTCCAAAATTTCTTTTTAGCGTTGGTAACATACAAACTGACAAGTTCAATCAAAACGAAACAGCGACGTGAGGAGGAGAAGAGGCGAAAGCGCGAAGAAAAAGCAAAAAAGCGAAGTTAATGAGAAGCTGAAAAGTTTTGCAAATCGATTTTCTTGCTTATTGGTTGGTGTTGGAGATAACGACGCGGTGGCTTCCACAACGAATCGATCCAGTGTCACGCATTTTAGCTTTTTCACTGTCTTGTATTTTTCCATGCTACACTTTCCAGTCTAAAAGATTTCCGGTTTCCATTCAAAATTTCGTCAGTACTTACACGACTTTTTTGTCCAAGGTGCCTGATATGGAAAATTATTACTTATGTAGAAAATGCCTCTTAGTGTGTAATGGTTAATTTGAAAGAGATTCTATGTGTAGGAGTACAATTTCTTTTCTGTGAAACGTACTTTAGATACAAGCTGTGTACTCTTTCTTCTCCCTCCATCCGTTTTCGTGGATGTAGGTCTTTCACTAGAAAACAAATTCAGTTCGAATTACAGAATAGTAGAATAGAGAGATTGGACTTAAGTGTCATATGTAAGAAGACATTTTACGATGCAGTCTTTTGTGTGTGTTTCATCCCTTAGCTGTAAACACCGAGCGAATTAAGCGTGCGGATAGGAGCGGGAATCATCAGTACAGCCACCTACTCGCCATGTATTGAACAGTCATGTGACTAATTTGCAAGACGGATATGCGAAACAAAGAGAAACCAGAGAGAGAGAACAAATAGAGCGAAAGAGAATGAAGAACAGTTTTGCCCAAAAAATTAGATTCGAGGAAGCATTTATTTCCTCGTTTACCTTTTGAAATTTCAGATTTTAAGTGAAAAAATGTGGCAAAATTGGCTTGTCTTTCATTTTTTTACGCGTTTCTTAATTTTGGGACTTTTTTCTCTTTTCCTTTAAATTTCTGGGGTTTTTTTTTTCTTTGTATGGAAAGGGTTTCGGTGGTTTATTGCTTGTATTCTCTGTACTTACTTGTATCTTTCATTTCATGTAGCATTTGAGAGGGATAGCTTTTTTGAACAGGAGGACTTAAAATTTTCGCTGCTGTTCCTGATTTTTGTTCTGTTTCGGTTTTTGAACTACTTAAGCCGATTGTAGCAACCAGGTTGACCGTGGAAGTCTAAATGGCGAAAGCGAGATAGATTACAGCATCAAAGAACTCACTGTAAACAAAAAATCTATCATAAATGAGGAAAGAGGGAAATGACGTAATTTTACATGAATTTTGAGGAAGAAATTGGAGCTAAAATGTAATATGAGTCAAATCTCTTACCGTAAAATTTTGACCGAAGAACAAAAATACTATGGCCACACAAAAATCACTTAGTTTGTGAATGTCCCATGTTAGTGATATTAATCGAATTTCCCGAATATCGAGCTCACCGGTAATTGCAAGAAACTGTTTCTCCAAAAAAAGATTCCCCTCAAATGCTTCTATTTCTAACTTTTTTTGAGCTTTTTTATTATTATTCCGGGAAATATGAGGGAGATTTGCTATATATATACCCACTTCATCTGTGATACTGTTGTGATTTCCAGTTTGCTCTTTCT